AAATCTCATCATTTCACCACAGTTTGATTTATTTTTGTCAATTCAGAATTACATTCGGTAAACAAATGAAACAGGCCAGGAAGGACTGTTTACACAGTGTAATATAGAGAATATTATTTTAGAGAGAATAGAATTTTACTTTGGCCAAAAATGAATGAGATTTTGAATTTACTATATTCTACTATTCCAGAATGCAGGAATTGCATTGCATTGCATGCAAGTCATCTGCATTTTTTCTGTTTATTATTATACATCATCAACTTGTATTAAATGTTAAAAATATTTTGCCTTCTCCTGTAAAGCTACTATTGAAATATGTTTTTTCCTTATCTTATCTTGTCACTACTTGAAAAGGAATTCTGCTGATTTTTTAAAGTTTCTGCATAATTAAGTAGTTAAAATGTAAACAAAATCATTTGGTGCTGATAGGAACCAGATATCTGAAGCATTGAATGCCTCTGAAAGCTCCCTCACAAAAGCTGTTACACAAAATGGTTACAAATATTTCCTGATGCCTGAAACATTGTTTTGTTTTGCCCTTAAGAAGTGACATCTCAGCCATGAAATCATGCAAAAATTTGGAAAAAAGGGTGGAATTCCCCATTTAAATTGAAGGTGCCATGAAGGGTTTTTTAAGGCGATGCCATAGAAGAAGCACTTTGGTTCCATAAAGAAGCGTTCCTTAAAGAACTGTTTTTGTAAATAAAATGCCAGTGTGAAGAACACTTTCCCTCCAATTGAAGGTTTTTGGGAACCTTTATTTTAAAGAAAGTTTCTGAGGAGTATATCAGCTTCAGAAGGCCATCACTGGTGCAATGAATTCCTAATGAATTCCCTATTTATGCTCCGTAACACTGTGTTCCTGTATTATGACTGAAACCTGTCCAAAACGTTTAGCAAGGTTTGATCATGCTTGATCAAGCTGTGAGAGTCGGCCTCGACCCTTTTCCTCTCTTTGTATTTCACTGGAATGTTTTAGTAGTGAGTCCCCTATTTAATCCCATTGTCACATGTAGACTCAGCGAGAGGGAATGGCAGGGTGTGAGTGTTACTGGTAAAGCATGGTATTACCGTGGCTGCTGATGTAGCGTGTGTGCTGGCACTCAGCAGGTCCGGCGTCACAGCCATGAGATTGCTGGTGGTAATTTGTTAAGAGTGAGCCACGATAGCAGCCCTGCTTTATCTTGTTAGGTGCCGCCTGGGGTGCAATCTCGGGTGCGAAGCTGCCGAGGAACAGGAGCCCCACACTGGGACATTGATGGGGCCTCAGCTGTTGGGCTTTTGATTGCGGAAAGGTCAAGCTGAGCTTTGTTATCTCACGAGGGGACAGTGGAGTGGCAGCGCGAGGGAGCACTACAGGAGCACTGGCACCATCGCCCGAAACGAGAGGCGGCGAAGGAGAAGCCAGGAATACCAATCAGTTCATATCTGATCTTCTAAACGCTCCGACACTTGTTGAGGTGGAGTGGCACTTCATCTCCATCTCAGAGAGTGGTTTTGTTTTCATGCTTCTTAGAGTAGCCACTCACTTTAAACCAACCACATCTGCTCAATGGACCTTTTGGCTTGGTGACAATTAGCTTGAGGGCATTTAAAGGATAGGACAAGTTAGTAACTGTGGCCATAGACAGATCATCTGATTTATATAGGTTTAAGAGATGAGCTGAGAAGTCATTATTCTAGTCTCTGTATTTAGAGCCTGAACGTGAAGTTAATGCAGTAGTTTGCAGTTTTCAGATTTGCATAGTTTTCTTACTCTAAATGTAGGCAGTCAGCCAAGACGCCTGGTGTCTGATGTTTATCTCTTTAGTTTTGCATTGAAGCTACAAGGTCAATTTAGCTAAAACGTAATGGAAACTTATGTTGTGTTCAAGTTGCAAAGAGATTTTATTCCAAGGAATTTTGGAGTATTTCTATTGTCTACTCAGCTGAGAAAACTAGCAAAGACCAGCTAGCATTTCGTGCTGGTCTATGCTGGTCTAGTGCCGGTCTGGTTCTGGTTTAGCTGGTCACCCCAGCATGGTCCTCCTTTGCATATGCTAGTTTTGGTGGTGACCAATATATCGACTTCCACTGCTGCTGACCAGTATGCCAGCATCCAAAATGTCAAAAAACATATGCTAGTTTTGCTGGTGACCAGCCATGCTAGTCTATGCTCATTTTTCTAGGAGGGTATTTATCATGACATTTTACACAATGTAAAGAGTAACTGCTGCACTCAAATGATTTAGAAAAATAAAAATGGAAATAAATGGAGATGCTTTGGACAGTGACGAAATATAATCTCATTAAAAAAAGTAGAGAAGTGGTTCTTAATTTGCCTTAAACTGTGTTGAGTTGTTTTATAATCTTAGATTATAATCTTAGATTGACTTCTTTGTTTCTGACACTGTAAACGTACTGTTTCTGCCTTTTTTGGATTATCAGTTATTTTGTTTTCTATTTTATTTTGTATAACCTTTTGCATTAACCTCTTATGCTCCAGGGTATATTTTTGTTTGTCCATCTGAATTTACATGACCAAATCACCATTATTCAGTAACTGCATGAAATAAATGCAAATTATTTTATTTATTTATTTATTTGTAAAAAGCTCCCCTCAAACTAACAGAAAAAGTGTTTTTTATGATCATACTCATATCGCTATATGCTGACAATTTACTGCTGAAAGCCAAAAAATCTTAGACGCTCTTTGTATTATTTTATAAAAATAATTTTTACAGAGCAGATCACTGAAGAGACGCCATCTGTTTATAGTTTATAGCCCAGATTTGTGGAAAAATGGGTCGACTTTCAGTAGACAAAAAAATTGAGTTCAGCTTCTTTTATTGTAAGGGTTCAAAATTACATCACCCATCTATTTGACTGGAAAGAAGACAGGTACAGCTCTCATACGACACCCACGTTTTGAATGTAGCTTATGAAATATGAAAGTTATGAAGAATATGACGAAGTGCGTTTTGGAACCACCGGTGGTTCCAAGGAGCATAAGAGGCTACAAAGCCAAACTACTCCTTATTTATTCAAATACAGGGCATCTCATTTACTGTTTTTCATTGTAGGTGCTCAATTGGGGGGCTATAAGCATCCATTGCTTGCTAGCAGTTGGGGGTACTTCAGTATAAAGTAACACAATACACTAATGAAACTACTTTTTCCTATAGTGAAGTAGTGTAATGCATTACAGTTTAATTCTTGAAATTACATTACAGTGACTGACAATAATTCTGTTACTCATATTACTCACGTTTCTGAAAGAAAAATATTATGCAGGATGTATTTAAATGAAAAAATTCCTCTATGTATAATATCCATGCCTGTCCTTGTACATAATTTGTGCTCACATGTACTGCTGACTGCACAAGTTTGATTCTGAACATGACCAGTACAACGTGAGCACAAAAAACACTGTAAAGTCAGCAGGCAATCTGTCAAAGCATCTAATGATGCTAATGGTACTGAAGGATGAAGTGCCTCAACCTCACCTAAACAGGCCAGACTCGATTTTCATTCAGGAACAGCTCTGTAAGCATCAGCAGAACTGTGTGCATTATTCAAAAGCAGTAATAGCGTTAAACATCAAAAAAAGTCTACTGTGATTGGCTTTTTCTCCCTAAATAGTATTGAAAAAGTTACTTAAAAGAAAAGTTCTGAGAAAAATCAAATTTACATGATTTTCCTCTTCCCCCAAATGCAGTCGATTAGCAGAGACATGTTTGGTTTCCAAAATTTGGTTCTTTAGGTTAGAACTGGAGCTGCAAGGCTAACGGTGCAAACAAACACTGGAAGTCAATGGTCACCCAAACTGTTTCCACAAATACATGCCAAAATCTTCTTTTACTCTTCTTGTAGCTACACAAATACATTAGCCTCATAGCTCAAGTGAAAAACTACAGAAGCAAACTTTGGCCACACTTGCCCTGGCTAGTTTGACTGCATTTGGATTTGGTTTGACTGCAAGGGTACAACTGTGTAATTGTGGCCAAACAACTGCTTGAACTGATAATTGCATAAATATGTTCCAAACTTTCTTTATCTGGTAAAGAAACAACACGTGAACATGGGAACTCGGAGGGAGCGACAAAGAGCCCACTAAGTATTTTAGACCAACATATCTTTCAACATTTTTCGCTCTTTTTTCAGTTATATATCTGCAGGAAGAAAGAAAATAGCCACAATTGTGGGGGAAACATCCAAATACACTTTCGCAATTATTCTATCATTCCAATAACAGACTCCCTGGCCTGGTGGTTACCATCTCTGCATGAAACACACACAGCATTCAGAGCCATCAGCCACCATTTTCAGATCCTCTCGCTGTCATCATCCTGGATAAGAGCTGTCCACAGGCAACCACATTTCCTGCCCACTGGATGACCAAACACCAAAGTGTACGTGTGTCAGTGTATGTATTTAGACTCGCATGTGTCCATCAGCTGTTAAAGACAGAGAGAAAGTAGTTGCCTCTTTCAAGCTGAAAATCAAAAGACAGGACTTTGTCCAGTATAGTTGCTGCCACTTTTAGATCTCATTAATAAGACATGGCCAGAAATGGGCAGCTATGTTTTTCAAGTCCAAAATCAAAGTAGGAGCTTTTATGGAAGCCTTTATTTTGGGGGTATGATTGATATGGCTTAGATTAACTCCCTGGAGAAAGGCTCTGGATGTCATGTGCCTCGGACTGAAGGTGTCTCCTTTGATTAAAATACGTCTTATCCTCCTGACTGAAGGTGCCCAGTTAAAATGTTCATTTGAATATGAGAATATTAAACGTTGTTTAATTGAAATGTCAAACGGCTGAGAAGTGATGTTAATTAACCAAATAATGACAAATTTAGGCTTTCAGCAAAGTTCTTAAATTACTGGTGAAACTTCTTAATCTACGTAAAAATCTGATTCTCAAAATCTTATTATCTATTATTATTAATTTGTCATATCTGAAAACCGCAGCCCAAAACTAAAACACATTCTGCAGAAGAGAACAGATTCTGCTATAGACAAAAAGCTTTATTTTCATTTTTTTCCATTTTTTTCCTGTAGCTTTCCTCTTCCGAAACATTGGAACATTTAACAGGAACGCAAATTGTTTTCTCCACATGATTACCAAATAAAAATGATCTGATAAGAACACCGTACAAGGCTTTGTACTCGAAATGAGAGAGAGAGAGGAAAAAAAAAAATCATTACAGGACTACAAGTACCAGAATGTGATACAAGCAGGAAACAACAACAACAATAGCAAACATCTTGACTTCTCTAGACTTGTTCGACTGCAGAACTGGTACCATCATTGCTCTAGTAATTCGAGGGTCTACATTTATAATTTCATATCACATATGAATAATGTTGGCTGCTTTTTTGAAAAGTAAAGTAAAAAATAACATGGAATAAAGCAAAATAGAAAAGTTCCAACTAACAGTTAAAAAAAATTTCATTCATTTTTTCGATCTTTCCGATGTTCGATGTCGGCTCTCCCCGAAATCTTTTTTTTTTTTTAATAACATTTTTTTGTACAGTCACAAAATAATTCAACCACACGTATAATCCCACCGTTTTTTTTATCTTCTTCTCTTCTTGATTTCCATAATATAAGCGTCCACTGAAGCAGAAGTGCTACTTGAATTCATGACCCCCCACGATTAAAGTTTTGAGGCATCCGTTCGTTCTCTCGCGGTCTGTCCGCAGTGGAAGGCCTTGGTCGTTCCAGTCTCGCAGTGACCAGCTTGGTTCTGAGTTCAGGGCCTTCGCTCTCCAGGATTGCTCACTTCAGCAAAAAGGTGGGTGGGCTGGGGACGGGGGGAGGGGACTTTAGTGCAGTTGCAGGAGATCTATGTGGAGCTGTTCGTCACATAGAAAAAACATCACATTCAGAAAATGGAGAGAGTCAGAGATAGAGTGAGAGCGATAGAGACAGAAGGAAAGAGAGATAGATAGAAAGAAAGAGAAAGAGAGAAAGGTCTTGAGACGAGAGAGAAAGACCTGAAATACACAAACACTTCACCAAACACAGCATGCCCCCCTTCCACTTGGCACTGTAGCTTTGTGACAGACAGATTTGTTTTCTGATTGAGCACCAGTGAAAAAAGGCCATTTGTAACTATTATTATTATATAGATATTTTTTCATCTACTCAACATTCTTTTTATTGTATGACAAAAAAGATTGTAATAAAAAATTCTACACTTTCGTTCGTGATGCGTTTCCCCTCCCGAGCCTGCGAAGCCCCGTTGGCTGCCTGTGATCTCGAACCAAAGCCAAATGCTTCCCGCTCCCCTTCCCTGTATAAAAGTTAAACTAGTGTCTTTGGCAGATTCACAGAAAAGACCCTTTCCTACTCTGAAAGACTAATGGAATTTTTTTTTCTTTTTCCAGAAATGGTGTTGGGGATTTCTCAGAGAACACGCACTCCCTCTCACTGCTGCACAAAAAAAAGTAAATGTGTACATGTACCAAACTACATGATCAACAGGAACAACAGTGGTTTAGACAGTCGGTGTGAATTTGGGGCACGTTGATAGAAAAGCACAGAGACGAGTCAAACAAGCAAAATCACTCTGGAGGCAGCTGGAGGAGGACGGTTAGCTATCTTGGCGTGTGATGGGAAAGCGGCGTTTTCTGCTGGGGTCACGGTCTTTTCTTGTTGGCTGTCCCATATGATCGGATGAAGAGCGGCCTGCGGGAGTGGCGATGCTAGGGGTGGTGGTCAGAAGCTGTAAATGGAGATGGTATTAGCTGTTGGTGGCTAACTGGAGCTGTATGGGGGGGATCCAGCAGCGCTGAGCTTCAGGTTGTGCCGGGTTTGGGGCTGTGGTGGGCCGCTGTGCTAGGAGGGGCCGAGCAACAGCAGGAGCATGACCAACAAGAGAGAGAGACAGGGGGCCAGTGCACGGCTGCTGTTGGTGTCGTCCGTCAGAAACGGCTCTGGAGACTCATATACCGAGTCGTCTGAGGAGAGAGAGAGAGGGTAGAGAGAGAGGTAGAGAGAGAGAGAGAGGCACATAAGAATCAAACGTTTCTGAGTACAGCTGCAGAATTTATATAAACTTTTTAAAATATAACACTCAAGGACTGAAAGGCAGACTCTGTAAATGACAGTGCATTGATGGAACGCTCTTGTCTTGGCTGACCTAGATTAAGTTGAAAAGCAGTTTTGCTGTCACTCTTGCCACGCAGATAGCATCAAAGAGCATCTAACGTACTGTACTCGCTGGTGACACTTGTCAGGAGCAGGTTTTTAGATGGATTTTTGCGGCACCAATACCATCAAAACATTCTCCTAAATGCTGGGCTTACACAAGGACTAAAATGCTAAAAAATATATACACACACACACATATACATACATACATACATACATACATATAAGTATCAATAACAATGATGTTTTCCAACCTTATTTACAAGTCTTATGTTATAATCATGAAACCCAAGGCATTAATTGAGACAGTGAGAAGCTAATTACATACAAAATCATCATTTACAGGCTACATTCTACTGGAAGCCGCTAAATAAACATGTGAAAATAATTTGTATTTTTTCCAGTTTTTTTAAAGATCTTTTGAGAGTGAATTTAGTTTTACATTTATCATCAGTTTAATTTTTAAATAATAAAAAACCTTTAGTCAGAAAATGCTGTCCCACGTTTTCATGTCACTACTGAAACACTGTTTTACTCCATACGCAGAGTCTTATTTTACTCACTCCCTGCATTTTAGAACAAATAGCAAGACTGCGTCCCCGTCCCTCATGGCCACATGGTGAGCAGACACCTTTTTGGGCACTGTATAATCGGTGGTGTGTGGTGCGTTTCCCATAAACTGTCTGAAAAACCTGAACACATATTACTGCACACATGATAACTGTGCTGTATACTGAATACCACTGCAGATTAATATGTGAGGTTTGTAGTTAATAATAATGTAATAATGTTTTTACAGCTGAACGAACTAAAGTGATTTTTTTTCTTCCTGTCCTTTTCTTCTCATACCCAGCGTTTCCTGTTTACCACGGCATCATCTCCATCAGAGGTTAATGCCACTGAGGTTCACCATGTGTGTCCCAGTACATGTTCACCATATTTGGTACCACAGATGTGGTTTATAAGAACAATTTATCCTCCTGTTTACTTTTGTTCCATTCTTCCTTTCTCCAACTGGACTAGGAATTTTGGAGTCCTTCTTTGGGCCTTTCCAGAAGTTTTCCACACTCTTAGCATTCTCTCAACCAGCTTCATGAGGGGCCAGCTGGGCTAACTTGGGGATAACTTGTTTCAAAAATATTTTTAGAATAAATTAAAAAACTGGTTTGGAAATACATTTATATGCAAATCAATTTTTGCATTTGGTCTAAGCACTTTAGTTTAGATTATGCAAGACATACATTCAATCAATTGGGTCCAAATGTTTTTTACTAACCTTGAAGGTAAGTATAATTAAATGAATGTACATGTAGGTTATGAAGGAAATGTGAAGTAGATATGGGCAAAATGACAAAAATATACCATGATACTTCAAGATATTTTCAAGGTTCATGATGTATCATGACATTTTGGTTTTCTGAGTTTTGATATGTGGGAACAGACACAGGACTAATTATGCTCTCTTTGTAATGAAACATGCAGTTAATCAGTGATCCACAATATGCTCAGGAAATGATATGACATTTTCATCACTATAACAACAAATATAATGCTCAACCATATTGAGAAAATGCACTTTGTAACTGCTACTATAAATAGATAAAAAAACACACACATAAATATATACTCTATACTCTCAAAAATACAGCAAAAATATATTTTAAAAAAGATTTTTAAATATATTTGCTTTGCATATGTGCAAGGTTGAGATTACCACCCCGCTCTGAAATAAGATTAGGACCGTGCTCTGGCAGAGCGCGTGAAAATAAACAGAGGCATAGCAGACTTAGCACAAGGAATTATGGTAATGGTCGGAGCTGAGCTGGCGGGCAGGCCAGACGGGTCGCTTTGTATTAGAAAGCGTTTCAGCGACAGGCAGCCATTCTTCTAACGCTTCCTCTCTAACATATGAATACGGCATTTCACAAGGACCCACCCTCCAAGGAAACACAATTCAAGCCTGTGTGCCAAATTCACACTCAGTCAAACGCTGAATAAAGTATGAAACTCACCAACTGCTACTGGACGTGAAGCCCTAACGGGGCACAGGAGCCCAGCGCTTACACTGCAGACATTACAGCAAAATCTGGCTATTATCTGCTTATGATTAATTTCAGCATTGACTGTGATACGTTTTACAGTAATGTGATTTACTACAGACTCAAATCAGTGATAATCGTATAAAGATCTTAAAATCACTGGCTTAACAGCACCTATACCAGATCATTCTGCCAATACATCAGGTACAAATTATTAAAGAGATTCAACTCTTTTGTTATTTTTAGGGATGCATGATGATGATGCTGCTGATGATGATGATGATGATTTGGCAGGTGTTTGTTAAAAAAAAACTGAGACTTTTAGACAAACGTTTAGATTTGACTGATATTTGATGATGTATCTCTTGTACTCTAAAAAGACCACAACATTTAGGCGACTTTGAACTTCGGAGCTAAAACATCTGTATTTTATTCATTTTATTGCAAATATATAAATGGTATTTCTCCAAAATGCAAATTCAAATAGATGTAGTCCCAATTTGCATACTTAATAGATGATTATGTATTGGTATTGATAACCAGATATATGGTATATGGTATACATATGGTATACATGAAAAATATCAGATACTGGCCAATTTCCATATCTGTCCATGTACATTTTGTTTTGTTTGTAATTTTTTGTACGCAAAGATACAAATACTGTTACACTTTTGTTTTAAAGTTCAATACATCCATCAATAAAACTGAGTTGAATACTGTAAATATTGGATCAGTTATAGCTTTGTTAAATCAATAACAAACTTGAATACTATAAATAAAATAAAGAACAAACCACAAAATGGTGCATTTACAGGACATGAAGTTGTCCACTAGCTCTGCAATGTGTAGCCTGTGCTGGATATGGTTATAGCCCTGTGTTGCCAGAGTCTGGTGGCAGGGAGAACTGGAATTGTTCATTTTACTAGGCCTAACCCCAGCAATTCTCGTGAGTGTTTCCCTCATCACTCAAAACAAGATTAGCAAAGCACTTTCTTTTGTATCGTTTTCAAAGTTGTGAAATGAAGCTGTTTTGAAGGCCACTGTACGTTACCTCAGCAGACATTCTCATGAACAAACGAGTGTGAGAGGGGGGAGAAAAAATGTCATCATTTCAAATTTGCATGTAATTGTCTTAACTGCTCACTGGAACTGATGATCTGAGAGCTAGTCTGTTTGCTAACAATTACATCAGGGCTAATGGGCTGCTGCACCCAGAGCGGTTGATTCTCTTCCAAATTTATAACATGCTCTGAAAAGGCACGACTCTGGAAAATGCCTCTCTTTCAAATGACACCATGGCAAATATTGACAAACTCCACTTAACGCTCCATGGCACCTAATGGCATTCCTCTCGGCCTTGTACAAATACCTGTAGCGTTACAGCCGACTCCTGTGTCTCGTTTCGGCTCGCGTTGACGTTGGCCAGGTTTAAACGCTAAAGGCTAAAGGCCACTGTTTACTGGAACCTGGATTAGCCTGTGCTTTATTCGGACGTTGACACGTAGCAGTCCGTGCCAGATGCCTTAGAGAGGAGGGGAAGGTTAGCTAGCGTGGCCTCATGGCGAGTCTAGCTAAGATTCAGGGTTAAACAAACCAAGCTCTTTTTTGTTTAAAGTGCAAGCTGTGTTGGAAGATGGACGAGCAAATGCCTGGCTTGTAGGCCCTCTGTGCTCCTCAGAGATGATTAGCAGCAGGTCAGACGTTTTTCTGGATTGTTATCTGGCCCTTGTCAGATGAATAACTTCCTACAGAATGTGCCCTGAGGGGGCCACCATTATCTCTCTGGTGTTACCACTGTGGTCCTAAGAGGTCAGGCTATAAACTATCAAGTGATGTGTGGAGGTCTGGTTGGAGAACTGTGTTGTTCATTCACAGCCTGGGAACAAGGCTCAACCTTAAATCAAGTTAATGCTGTGGATTTTGTCCACCAGACAGGATAATACAGGTGCTCCTGCTGCAAGACTGTAGCAGAAACTCTGCAAGATCTCTTGCTGGGTTAAAACATGAGAAGATTTCAATGCAGGACTGCAGAACTGTTGGTACCAGTGTGCTCACATCACCAGGCCTTGAGCATAAATAAAAGCAATAGGCAGAAGATGTTCATAGGGCAATAAGGTCTTCAGGGTTCATGGACATACTCACTTGTGGGTTTGACATAAACTCTTAACTTCAAGCAAGGCTTCCCAGCAAGGTTTGGGTGTGGAGAGGCTGTGGAGAAACAGAGAGATGAAGACGTAGTTTACCTTTTGGCTTCACAGACAGAGAAATCAAGTTCACATAAAACTTTACAAGAAGATGGGAAATAGGCCTGTGTCTAGTGAAGGCAAAACTCAATATACTGATAATATATTACAACAACATACACTTGTATGCAAAAATTAGGGCACCCCTGGTTAAATTTGTTTTGTTGATTTTCTAAGTGAAAATAAATTAAGACATCCTCTGCAGAGAAAACACATCTACACATTTTAATGCACACCTACTGTTTGTTTGCTGAATTTAATACACTGGACAAAAATAAAATATGGGCTGTGCAAAAGTTTTGGCACATTTTCTATTTTTTTGGTTTCCAACATGTTAAACTCAGCAGATAAATAAAAATTGTGCCCTAAAATCTGCCGAAAAATGCAATATTTAAGTGTGATTCCTGTAAACTTAATTTCACAATCAACACAACATGTAATTTGACTGTGGGGATTCAAACTTTTACATATGACTGTATATTTATCTTGAAATTTAAGCTTTGAGTCAGACGCTATCACTGTGATTGCTCCCATGTCAACTTCAACTTCATGTCAAGTTAGGAACTGTCTCAAAATGACAGGAAGAAAAAAATGTTGCTTGTTACTGTTACTATTTACTTTTAGTAGAAGCAGTAATAACAGCAGTATCTCTGTACATCACAGGCACATAAGTACATCAGCTAATGCATGTGGACATGCCTATCAAAAATGTTCCTAAAAGCATCAGCAGATGTACTTAGTAATTTTAGAGATAATCATTTTTTTTCTGGTAATTTTAGGGGGCTCCTAATTCTGAAGCAAATGCAGGAGAAAGCACAGTGACAGCATCTGAGTTGAAATGTGTCTTCGTCAAATAATAAGCAAAGCAAAGAAGCCCAATCCTCCCATCCCACCCCTGTACCCAGTTTAAAGGTTTATTATTTTCCAAGGTTATCTGGCCCAATATGAAAATAATATCAAATAATGGAACACATGTACAATAAGACATTATTCTAAAGAAATAAGTCGACAACAGGGATGTGCATTCCGACGAATTTTGATCTTTAAGTATCCGTAGGGGTGAACTGATGAGTGAGGACTTCGGCCGACGTTAATGCAGGGCTGTAGGCTTATCTTTTTAGGCGACAGCACTGGTGTTCCTTAAAAATTTAGCAGCACACCAAGGAATACAACCGAAAACATGTTTGATTATTTAAGAGTAGCTAAGGCATACCAGCAGGTTTTCACGTTGGATCAGTACCAGAGGCTGCCTCTTCAGATAAGCTAATGAGCTAACAGAGCTAACTGGTACAACACTGGATGCTGATGGAGACTTGCTGTCTCCTACACAAAGTCTTTTCTCCTCAGTGGACAATGTGCCAACACTGTTAGTTTGTCAGAGACAGTTTCTGGAACTAACATCAGCTAGAGCAGTTCATCTTAGTTAGCAATACAGCCACGGCAGAGCCAGCTTCACTAGGCTATTTCTGCCTTCTCAGTCACTTTAACCTTAACAATGCATCCTTGACAATACATCCTCGACAACGCGCTCACTATAATAACGCATAGGAATGTGTAATAGTATGATTATAACATAATACACTTACTTCCTCATAAATACCAGTAAACTTGCCAATTTTACAGTCCTGTTAAAAAATAAAATCGATGTTTCATTAAAATGTAACAAATGCAATCATTTCAGTATTTGAATACTGACACCTTAAATGGCCAACTGAGCACATCCCTGGTTTCACAACACTATTTACACAAGTTTAACCAACAAGGCTGAAATCTTAATAAAACACAACAATCCAAGACAGCAAAAGCAGCCCTGGTCTCAGAGATGCTTTTCGCTCTGAGCAAACTGAGTTCATCATGTTAACCATCAAGCCGCCTGCTTTGTGACTCAAGTGTAAAGAACAAATCATCACCACTCGTCTGACGACCCACGTGGCTGCACACACACTTTCTATCTCAGACACACACACCATATGGCTTTGAGAAAAATACTTGTGCTCCATGCACCTTCAACGATAACATCAGTGGCAGACACAAACTGAAGAGCGAGCTGAATGAAGCCTTTTTTCTCCCTCCTCTTCAAAAGCTTGGTAATGTGTTTTTGACCAAGGACAATTTTTTTAAGAATACAAATGGAAGACTACTCACAGCTGCCATGACACAGTTCTTATTCTATTATTCAGATCCATAAAAATTCCTTCGTTCTTTCCGTCCTCAAGGGTTTCACACTAAAAGGCTCTTGCAGCTATATTTTGCTCTAACAGGTGTTCTCAAGTGAATGGACATAAAAGTTGGCAGTGGGGCTCCTTATACTGTAAGAAAATACAGAGTGGGAAAAAAATAAAAACAAGCCTAGAGTTACAACCCTAGATTAATGGGCAGAAATCAAAGCTGGTCATTATTGGAATATACTGTAATTTGCGTTCGCTCATGTATGCTTTCGTGATTGTAAATGAGAACGGTCCATTTAAACGACAGCTCTATTGCATGCTAAGTATGTGAATGCTTAGAAAAATATGTTGAGTGAAATCTCAGTGTGATAAGCCGATTTCTCAAGAGCAGTTCAAAGTGACGGCTGATCACAGCTGCTTGACGGCTCTTGGTGCTGGACCTTATAACCCCAAGCTGCAAACTCCAACTGAGCACCAGCCATTACTTCTGCATTTGTGTGTGGAAGGCGACAGGGTATCTGAAAATGTTGAGGGTTCAGATGTGTGTGTGTGTGTGTGTGTGTGTTTGTGTGTGTGTTTGATAATTATGAACTGTTGGCATTCTACAAAGTTCTCTGTTAGCTGGATAACTTCAGCTCTAGGTTAAGATATGAATACAAAATGTCTCTCACCTCTTTTCCCCTTTGGACAGTTACCTGGCTAACTAAGAAATCCTGCTTTGTGAAATAACCCCATTACATTTACAAACATTTCTAAAAAAGGTTTCTTAAAGAACCATATACTGAAATGCAGGGTAAAGCAGGGCACGACCTAACATATTTTCTTTTTCGTACATTCATTATTTGAGTAAGATTAATAATATTTTTATACAGGCAACCTACACATGCCTTTGTTTCCAGCAGCTACCGTTTGTGAACAATTCAACTGAAAACGTTTAGTTTTAATAGTTTAATTGTAATAGATGGTGGGGCTCATTGTAACACTTGCTGAAAAATCTTGTAAATTGATTCCAACAGGGTTGATTCAATTAATTTCTGTGTTTATTGATGATTAGCTTTCCAACCTAAATATCTGAAAATATATGCATCAAAATAAAAGTGATTATGAAAAGAGACTATGTTGAATATGATTTATGTTTTATCACAAAACATATTAATATGATAAAATTTAAACATACTTATTTTTTTAAAGATATCTCTAGTACATTTTCAATAAATCTGTGCATAAAAACTGTAAAAAATGGACTGTTTTGAATTTATATGAAACGATATACACTTCTTAGTTGTAACACTGAGTCAAAACTAATCCCGCCATATGAAGGCTGCTTTTTAGTCTGGCTAACTGTGAGCTGTTTACATGCTTCAAAATTATATATTACAGCCACCAAGAGAGTAATTAAAATAATACAGGTCATACACACAACGCAATCAAAAAACACTTATGATGAAAAAAAGTGAATCTCAAGAAATATCTGTCTGATTGCTGTCATAATTTGTAGATGATGTTTCTATGGGAATACGAGAAGGTGACTACAAGCACATTCTATGTAATCCTCTTTAACTACATTAACAATCCACATTCAGTTTTACCATGTGTTAGTTTGTGCTCCGCTCCCATATTTGGAAGGAACCAAAAGTGGTTCTTCTGATTATGTTCTTATAATCCATTTTGGTATCTTTATTTTTAAGAGTGTATGCTTCTGCTATACAAAAAAGAGTACTATAGGATGCAATATCCTGTAACAAGCAGCAGTATGCAGTATGTTCTGCTCATATGTAAATCTTAGCTGTATACAGACAGTCCTGTGAAGCTGCCACAGTTGCCATTTGTTTTCTCAGCCGCTGGGGCTGGGTGCGGTGGGGTCAGTCCTGGGGTGATGGACACACTCTTTTGTTTGAGGATAACCAAGCTAAGCCCCCTTTCCCCCTCCACGACCCATTCCTCTTTGGTAGCCCCCTTTTGCCCCATAACCCCAGGGGCCATGACAGCTACAATACTGGTAGTAGCCAAACACTTCTCTGAGGGGAGGAGGGCAGAGAGCCCTGTTGAATAGCTAGCATAAGTGCTTCCCTGCCCAGGCTGCTGTCTGGGACAATGGCCTGCCTAGGATCGAGCGGCGGGGCGGGGAGCATTAAAAACAGCTCAGGACATGGAGAAGAATCACCCAGGCCTGAATGCAAACTTTGAACCCTCCATTCTTTCTTTCCTTCTTTGTCGTTCGACCTCTCCATCTCCCGCCTCGCCTCTTTGCAGGACTGACAACGTCCTGTGGAGGGGAATAAGTTTCTAGACGCCCCACTGGTTAGTGGGAAGAGGGGGGTCGACATTTTTGCGACGCCCATTGCTTTTTCCCTTAGCTAAAATAGCTTTCCATCATTGAGAAGATAATAAGCAGTGAAATATGGACCATATGTGGTAAGATGAACAGTCTTGTAGACTTGAGGTGGGCCTGAAGGGGCTGCATGGTGCCCTGTAGGGCTCTTCCACTGGCCTCAAGCCTCCAGAGATAAAGGGCCTGCTGTTGCTTCAGCAGAACTCTGACCACCAAAGAGCATGAACTCTCATATATACACTACAGAACATCTGCACTAGGCATAGCCTCTGAAGATGAGGTGATTAGGTGAATATTTTGCTATTTTACATATTGTATATTATAGTTTATATTTTATGGTGCAAGAAAAAGGGAAAAAAAGCATCACTAGTATTGGGGACATTTGGGTGCATCACTGGTATTGGGACCTGCTATGTCTTATATGTATTTGGTAAAATATAAATGGTTTGCAAATTTTGTAAAGAAGCTCATCCTGCAGGCCCCATTGCTACACTGATCTCCTGCATTTGAGGATGTGTTAGAGAAAGAGCATTTCCAAGCCTTTCAGTTATTAAGGACAACAGATGGCAGCGAACATTCACAAATGACCACATAACCAGTGATTATAACAAATGTGCTTTTAGTCCTCAAATGAGCCATTTGTATGGTTCTGCTTTTAGGATCAAGTGTCCTAACACATAATGCATTATTTTCATTGTGTACTGTGGAGCCACAGGTCCTCAGAGGCTCGTCCTGGCAGTATTGGAGGGCTCCGCTCTGTAGCCTCACCTCTGTGCAGAACACACTGGCCAAGCGGTGGCTCTCTTACAACATGGCACAGCCAGGTCTGAGAGGAGGAATCAGTTAATGAGCTGTATTCATTTAAGATGAAAAGCCAAGTTCAGGTTTTTTGTTTTTTGTCTTTATCCGTGAACTTTTCTCTGAAATCCTCTCAGGTTGTAACAAAAACACACAAACACACAGTGTTGGGAAAAAAGTGCAAGTGCAACAGGGAAAACGAGAGTGAGGGGGGAAAAAAACAAAAAGAGCTGAAATTGCCTCATTAATGCATCCGGCGTGCTGCCCTGAGCCTTTCCCTTTTGCCTAGGCCCAGCGGGAGCCCTTTTTATCAGGCCAAAGGACACCTTTCGCTGAGCCATTAGCAAAACAGGGACAGATGCACCCTGGCAAATTCCCCCCCGTCATGCACCGGCAGAGAGGTGGATGGAGGACGGACCGAGCGTCCCGTAAGCAGGCAGAGGGGTGCAGCCGCTGTGACCTTGGCCCGGTGGGCGTGGGCATCCGAAGGACGAGACGTCAGCACTGATGGCCCAAGCGCTGTCCGGAGCCAACCCCCCCATCCCTGAGGTTAATGGCTTTTAGCTGTTCCTGTCCGAAAAATGGTAATGACCGCCGCCCCGGGCTGTCGAGGACGCAATTACCCCCATCAGGTTTCCCCATGCTAAATATGATTTGACCAATCAGCATAATTTGGAGAGTGTTCCGCTTGGCGGCGTCCGTAACTGGTTTTGCGCTGATCTCGCCCTGCACGGTTAAGTGCTGGGCTAATAGCGTATGGAGCATTTGACAAATTGACATTTTCATCCAGGGGAGAGCTCGGGATGCACCCAGAGCAAAAAAAGAAAAGGAAGGTCAAGTAAATTTGGACCAAGGGATGCTCAGAAGGTATAGATGAATTTTGCTCCAGCTTGCCTTCATTCATCTTGTATACAGTTTGAATAAGCGCATTCAACAGAAGATGCATTATGGCAGCAATGTGAGTGAAGGTGAGGGCTGCTAAAAACAGAGTCAACACTGCAGATGATGGTTTGATGACATAAAACGGTAGCTGGTTCAGAGCCCTGGGAGGGGGACAGTGACATGCAAGCCAAATAAAACTACAGAGCAAAGCCTATTAATTAAACCCCTGCCGTTTGTGTGCCTCACTCCCTTGCGCTTCATAAAACAGGATCAAATCGTCCTTCAGAAATGAGCAGCAGGCAAACCACAATAGAAGAATTACAGAGAAAAGAGCAACTCAAGGATTGCCGATGTTTTACTGTCCTAGAAAAATCACTGAAAATACCTTTTTTGTAACGATTCATAAAATTTAATAATTATCTCGCTCCTCCACCTAAAACTGCCAACTTGCCTTCACAAGATTAACATGCAAAATCGAACTGATGATTAAGAACTGCTAATTACATTTAACAAATATTTACATGTAACAAAAGTGTGCAAAATCTTGGAAATTCAATGCTGATTTATGCTCATGGCTCATCAGTTAGAAATACCAAATTAGTTTAGTTTTGCTCTGCCATTTATTTTTAGAGACAGCAGCCACAGACAGCTGCCACCATAACAGACAAATTTATGGATCTTAGTGACACATGTTATTGATTACTGGACATTGTGAAACCTGCGCGCCCAATAGCAGGCCTTCCCGCTGCCCTATGTACCCTAGTTCCTGTAACTCGAGAGCCATCAATTAAGCAGATGATTAGCCCCTGGGGCAATAGGGACACCTGGTCAGTGGGCAACAGTAGACATGAGGGATTCTGTGTGGAGAGTAGGGGGATGGAGCAAGTTACTCACAGATGTAGTAGTACTCGTGTCCTGGGCGGAACTCAAAGCCCAAGGAGAAGGGCGTGAAGAGTTGGAACTTCTCAGAGAACTTAAGCGGCCCGTTGGGGCTCAGGGGCCGATTGCACTCCCAGCGCTTGAAGCCCTTGATAAGGTGGTTGCAGGTGATGTAACTGTCGTAGCTAACCATGTAAAGGACATAGCGCTCCATGCGCTCCGGTGGCAGTGGCACCTCGTAGTGCGGGCAGTAGATGTCGAGGTAGTCATTGATGGCTACCTCCACTGTGTACTCTCCATGTACGAACCTACAGAAAAAACACAGGCAACAAACACAATGCTATTACATTTTTGTGACAGACAAGTGAATTTAAAGATGACAGAGAGGTCCCAATTCAAATCTGAAGCCTAGCCAAACGTAAAATTGGAATGCGAGGTCATTAACATCATATTCAAATTCAAAGGAGAAGGAGAGACTTTGTGCTTGTTAGAGCAACTTGAAATATTATTATATGAGTATTCAAGATACAATAAAAGAGTTTCCAAAAGGCAGTGCAAAAATAACAAAACATATCAGTTCAGAATGACTAAAGTGATTTTACAGTAGTTCGCAGCCCAGCGAATCTTACTCAGTGAACTGGTAACTTGAAGTGGCTATTGTATAATCTACGAAAACATAAAATAACAGAAAATATTAGATCAACATTTGGTATTGGCAGGTGCTTAATATTAAATGACTTGGATTGGGATCAGGGCAAAGAAAAAAATCTGGACATCCCTACAGGAAGCTATAAAAACAAAAAGGACATGAAGGGAGGTTCCAGCTGACGCAAATCCATATGTCCCATTTAACACCACTAGCCCTTGAACTAGACTTTTAGGAGTGCCAAAATGATCTCATCAAGCTGGTGCAAATAGCTGATGGCACATGTCACTCATGCAGGAGATATTCTCATTGCACCCTGTGACTAGGGGTGGTGTGGGGAGGGGAGTCGGGTGAGGATAATGTGGGCCAGTAGTGCTGAAGAGGGACTGACTGGAATGACCAAGCAGCATGGGACAGGCAGAGATTGACAGGGGTTCACAGAGTGAGAGCGGCTTCATTAAGCGCTTTCACAAGGTCTGGCTCTCGCCCAGCTTGGCTGAAATGAGTTTGTCGGCCGGGGCAATTTAGATACAAATTGAGCACCTGCATGGTGGCATGAGCTGGCTAAATCCCGAGGACTGCTGCAGCTTCGCTCGAACCTACGGCTCTTGGCACACCCCGGTCAAATTGCCCAAAGATGACTGCGCATGTAGATGCAGATCTGTTCCATATCCCAGTCCTATTCTTAGCTCAAGGCATGTATTATATTTTTAACGCTGTTTCGCAGCTGGGAAAAGTGATGAGTCGTGTTCTCTTTGGAGGAAGCATTCCTATTTCTTCTGCCTTGTGAGCTTTATGTGAATGAGATGTGACGGCTCCGGTAGAGAGATCTCAAATGGTTTGTTATCAGCGCAACTGACACACCTGCTCCACAGTGTTGCACTAGGTCTTCAAGGGTACAAAAAGGCCTGTCAAGATATGCAATACACATATTCCTAGAGTCTTGGAGTGCTAATTAAAATTAGACGATTCTTATCAAATTAGATTCAGAAAGGTACGTGGAAACGCTGGCTGAGTTTTGGACAGGCTGAGTTGATGGGTCAGAGCGCTTAGCAGAATTTCATGTACAAAAAGCTCCAAAAATGGGTGGAAATACACTTCATGGTTCATTACGAAACCCAGACACAAAGCCCCTCCACTCTTTTGTCCTCAGAAAGACCTTACAAAAGCAATGGTGCCAAAACAGAACAGGCTAGCACCATGGCCCTCTTTAGACTATAGGCTTAAGTTATGTTTATAAGAACAGCACACAGCTCTGCAGCCTGGGGTCTTTGAAAGAGACAGGGGGCAGGGGCAAGAGGGGGGTAAGGAGCAAAGAAGGAGGGAAGGGGGGCTTGGAGTAAGGCTTGGCATCAGATGACAGCTAATCTGGGTGTGGAATTACTGTCAGAGGGCTGTGGAGGGGCCAAACTCCAGCTGCCGCCACGCAAGGCTTCTCCAAACGCCTCCCTCCCTTATCGCTGCTGCCCAGAGATCAATCCCTCTTTTCAGTGCATGTACTTTTTTTTTTTTAATTTCTTTTCCCTCCTGTTCCCTCCAACATGTCACTTTCTTCTCCTTCCATCGTTGGCACTCTTGAAACCCACACATTGCGCGAATGCTGACAGCCTGCTTGACTCTCCCTCGCCAAGCATCCAGTGCACCGAATGAGCCTAAATAAAATATAAGGAGAACCTGGCTGTAGTGGCCAGGATTATCTACTTTTAGAAAAGAACACTTCATCCCATTTCAGCAGAGAGCTCTCTCTATTACCCTGGTACTGTGTACAAAAGAATACTTTTGTTAGTACTGGGGTGCTGCACTTCCCGCTTTCATGCTCAGGCCATTCTTTTGTGTGGAAACGTGTTTGCCTTGCAGTGTGATTAACTCTTTGCCAATTTGTCGTGGGATGCTTAAGACAGAAAAGCTAATGAAAAAGTTGGGTGTGCCCAACCTTTCTGGTGCAACTGATGCTGTCTAAATTTAATTATCTTGCCATAAAAACATGTGTTAGGATCCCTTTAATGGCTGACACATCATTACGGCACGTTGTGAGAGCGTAGCATCTCTCTTTTGGATTCCTAATGTGTATTATGTCTCAATAAATCAATAGCAATGCCTTCTCCTACCTCTCCCTCAACTGGCATTAAAGGCAATGGAGGTTGCCTGACATTTTAACATTCCCAAAGTCTGAGCAACTCCTTTTAATTGAGACTTGTGGCTGGGTGTAAAAAAACGACCACATGGACGATGGCTGGTTGATGTAGGTGGAGCTGAGAGGAAAGAGAATGAGATGACAGATGAAAATATCAATAAAAGCAGCCATTGCGTTTAGAGAGAGTTAATGCATGCGGCTAAGAGAGCTGCGTTCATCAATCACTCTTTGGTCTTCTTATTGCTCCTTGAGCTTCTCCTGATTTAGGATTGGCCTCCCCAAACAATTTCCCCCTGTTCAGAGCCATTAGGAGACAAACATCCACTTATATGGTGTTTACTTCCCATCTGATCTTCACGGTATCAACTTTCTCAAATACGGATCGATGCCAGGCCAACAACAAAATAGGAGATAAAATCTGCCACGCCGCACGCTGATCGAAGGCTGACCATTTCGGCAATGGTGGTTGAGAAATGTAGTTAACGCAAAGCCTAAAAGCCTGGCCTCCCTCTAATATAAGTGCCCCAGCCGTGCGTCGTTGCAACCTCCCTTTGGTCCTATATCCCACGCAGAACTACCCCTGCAGTCTCTCAATTGCATGCTCTCCAGACAACTAGGAACACATGGCGGTGATTGATCAATTAGGCTTTCAAACTAAAAGTCGTGCACAGACTTTGAAGCTCCTTGAGAGGTTGGTGCTCTGCTTGGCCACCAAAATCCCCATGGGACTTCAATTAATCAGACGAAACTGTTTGCATTCGCCGTGTTTAGAAGAAGGAGATTCTCAGCGTGAACTTTTCAACCGGTGCCGCTCTCCCAGGGGTTTGAAGCGTCCTGATTTACTGTTGCGTCAGGCGCGCCGCAGCCTGCACTGCGCTCCAGCTCTGGTCTTTATGACTTCCTTTGGTAAATGTTTGTCTGTAACTGGGCCTGCTTTTAAGGCCAAGAGCAGGAAGCATCTGCACCGCAAGAGGTCAAAACCAAACAAGTGGATCTGATAAGAGGGATACCATAATTTATTACGGTATTTGACATTTTCAGCCAAGGAGCCAAAGAGTCATTAAAGCCATTAGGAGTCGTAAAGCCAGCCCTGAGAGTTTCAGGTCCTGGTTAAGTGAGAATGGGCCAATTTGTATGCTGCTGGATCTCTAATAATGTACACCTATGGATGGAAGTCAAATGTGTTAGTCCAGAGGTCATCAACTAGCAGAGTGTGGTCAGGAGGCAGACCCAAAATATTTCAATGGATCAAACTAAGCACTTGAGGAAAAAAAACGTCTGTAGCAAAGTCGATCAACATATAAAAAAGTGCTGGTACTTCTGTAGCAGTGCTGTTCTACAGTTTATCCACTTCACATGCATTTATGTTAAAGAAACAGAGACTAGCTACAGGGCTAGATATCAGGTCAGAAAGCGAATGTTACATATTTTCATAGATTTTTATTTTATTTCGCTATTTCTGGAGTAGAGAAGTAAAAAAAATAAGTAAACAGAGAACTTAGTTTTTCTATCTGTTTGTAGTTCAAACTGATTTGTTTCATCTGTTGAAAGTCTGTGGTGTGAGTAAAACATTTGAATTTTTTTTTCTTTTCTTCTTTTTTCTTTTTAAAAAAAAAACAAAAAACAATAGCCCAATGGCCATACAGTTTAAAAATGCTCATTAGAATACACAAGTACATTCAAAATAAAAGTTTATCAAAATGTATTTGATGTGAGTTGTCTAGACTATCAAACTTATCAAAGAGGCTAAATGAAAAGGAATGAGCTGCTTTTTAATCTCCTATTCTTGAGTAAAATCCTCAGCAGTGGTTTCTTAGTCCACACGACATATTTTATATTTAAAAAACAAATTGTATTGTAGATCAAGAGGGCAAAAAAAACAAACATTCATTTCCCTCCCTGGTGAGCACTACACTCTGGGCTCTTTCATTCCTTTCAGCCTAGATCTTGACCCAATGCAAAGACTTTACAAGAGAGAATTTTTCCAAGGGATGCCAGTTCACACAGAAGAGCAGATCCCTTAACATTACGTGGATTTCTGCCTTGTGTTTAGGTAGGCAAGACTTTCCGTTGCTGTTGATTGTGTCTGTCTTTCACCTTTTGTTGACTTCCAGCTGAGGCAAATGGATGAATTTATTCTGCAATTAACCGATGACCCAGCTGAGTTTGTTTAACACAAACATAGCCGGCTAATAACTTGACACAACCTTTTCACACATGTCAGAACTAATTTTGCTTCAAGCCTTGTGCCATTATGTTTGATGAGTCTCATCTAAGGCAAATAGCAGACGTTCGAGCATCCATAGTATCCGTTGGCATGCTAGCGTTTGGACTTATTCTTTTAAGACATGGAGAGATAGAGGTTTTTGTGCAGGTCAGTTTAGTGGCAGAGGTCCAGCAACACATGTGACAGAGCTGTGCTGGTGTTTATAATAGACTGACTGGAGGAGACGGCCCAGTGCTGGAGGCCACGCTGTGTATGTGTGTGTGCGCGCACGTGTTTCAGAATGGTTCTTTGTGCTAGCGGG